CACACACACACACACACACACACACACACACACACACACACACACACACACACACACACACACCAGCACCTGCAGGGCCAGGCTGGGGTTAAGAGAAGGGGGTTGTTGTTGACCCACCTTGCTGATATGAATGACTTTAGCAGAGACAGGATCTGTCTCAGACGATGCAGGCTAAATACCAGCATGCGTTCCTCTTAACTGCAAAGTTTCATGGCAGAAACACACTCACGGCTTTGCTCTTTGCGGGGAATGTGAAACTTTTTCAGAGTTCTAAATATTTGCAAAACAGGTTGTAACTTTTAATTTTTTTTTATCAACATTAATCAGATGATGTGTTGTATTTAAAATAGTGCTACGATGCAATTGRAGTGTAATAAAGACTGATTTTCTTTTCAAAGTAAAATTCACTTTTTGAATTTTATCTAAACTTTTGTATCTGTTAACCAGTTGTTTACAAGAGTAAAAATAAACTTGCGCAACAGAAAATTGGGCTACACCGACTGACTTTCAGAGAGGACATAAAATACATAAATTCATCTCAAACCTGTTGGCTTGTTGTTTGAAAAGTTGAGCTAACACAGAAGAGCCCAGTAATCAAGATTGTTTGCCAGCAGAAGGCGGGAAATGTGGACATGACTGTAAATAATAAATCTAAAAATGAAAGAAAACATTTTTTATCTAATCCTCAAGCAAACCTAAATGAAAGTTTTGTTTGGATTGAAACAAAAAGAGTTCCATTAAGAGGTTTAGGTGGAATATTGTTAGCTAAAAKACACTGAATGTTAAATAATGAGTCACTCGACGTAACAAAGTAGAAGGTGTGGTGGTTGCTATCCAGAAACCAAACTTYGAAAGAGAGAAAACAAAAATCCTTGAACAATCATACAAAAATATGAGAAGTTTATTATTACTAATATTAGACAGYAATTCTTCTATATACATTTAAACACATTGGGTTAGGATTGTTTTCTGTAAATATGCAATGTGTTTAATGTTCTGTCAGTTGTCATTTCCTGTGTTTTTAACAGCTTTTAACTAAAGATTTAACTTGACTTTTATTCAATGGTTCTTGCTTGTTTGTCCCCTCTGTGGTATATTGTGATGTTACTGTATGGGCGACCAGAAATTAAACTCAGATTTTTATTGTGCAAGCACCAGCACAGTGTACAGAGGCAGAAAAAGGGTTTTGCAGACATTGGAGAGCGTAAAGGAAGAGAGAAAATAACGAYGAACCCAAAAGGAAATGTGTGCGGAAAAGTCGAGGCTATAAATCCTGACTACACTACTTCCTACCCATGACACTGGTTTCATCGCTGCTCTCAAGTCATACCCCACCTCTCCGTCCTCCAGCGCTCCCTCCCTCTCTCAGCTGCTCTGCCTCTCCTCCCCTCCCTTCTCGGGGATGGTGTAGCTCTCTCTCGCAGTCTGTTGGAGCTGCACACAAGGATTAGAGGATTGCTGTGTGTCTGCTCTAAGAGTAGAAGCCAGTGGACAGAAAGCAGAAAAATCTCTGGTGGTGGGGAAAAAAAAGAAAAGATAGGTTTGTTTTACTGGATAGGTGCTCTGGTTCACCTTCACCCAGCCTTTGTATCTCATCAAAGCTGAAGGACCACAGAGCCTTCACCTGGGAGAGAGGACAGATAATCCAAGGGACTATTAAAGCCTGGATCTCCACACGGGGAGCCATGTGAGCGGCACCCCKCCACCAACTTGACACAAGAGAACTGCCCCAACAGAGACTCTGAGCTGGGGGGAGCGCAGCCAGGATTTTACCCCTCTCCCTGGAACCTCTACTTTCAGGGCTAASGGACTCCCCAGGCTTGGCGAAACTCAGCGGAGGACACTCATCTCGGGGTCGGGCTGCGAGTGCCCCTCTGGTCTGGAGACCAGCCAGCAGCACTCCAGCACCATGGATTACCTGCTTGGGACTGTAGTGCTGCTGTGTGTTGCAGTGCAGCTGGGCAGAGGAGTAGAGTCCAAGCACAACGTACCAAGACTAAAGCTGTCATACAAGGGTAAGTCCATTCTCTCTTCTCCCTGACTCCAGGTTATAACCGGTGCTTTTAACCCAGACTAAAACATTTCTCTTGCTCTCTTGCCCATGGGTGCTCTTTTATGCTTTTCTTTTCATTCATTCATTCTGTGCTTTCCTCCGCTTCTGTCTCAGTAAGTCCATTTCTGCCTCTGTGTTTGTCTTATTCACTACTTCTGGCTCTTGGTCTGCATWCAAAATCCATCTCCCTTCTTAACCTTCTGTATTCCTCTCTCCCATTACCTCGCTCCTTTCCCTCTCACCCGCACTGCCTGTCTCTAAGAATTCACTATTCTCCTTACAAATGGTCGGATTGTTTCCATATGTTGTGGACAGACTTCTGCCTGAAGTTAAATGTATATTTTGGCCTCTGTATCCTTTTTCCCCCTTGTCCTGTCCCCTTCTATTAACACTGCACTGCCCTGGTAAGTGGTCTGAAAAGCCAGCAGAGTCTCTGGTTTAACAGCTTCTGTCTGAAAATCTAAAAAAGCTGTGAAACAGAGCCCTTTTTTCAAGGGGCCAAGCACAGTCTTGACTCCTATTTTTTTGTGATAAATTGATTCAACAGTTGGAGAGTTTAAATTCATTCTGGTTTGCACTCTAGATCTCCTCCTTTTCTGGAGAACAAGAGGGAGTTTGTGTCTTTCTATCACACACGTGTACGTATTTGACGTWTATAGCAAACATGTTATTCTCTCTCCTTCTGTGTTATTTTGAGGGGAGACTGCGGAGCGCCGGTCCGTCCTCTCCTCCTCCTCCTCCTCCCTGTTTCTCTCTCCGTGTCTCGTCTCCTCTCTCACACCCTACACTAAATCAGGCTTTTTGTAATAGCAGACTTTTCATCTTGGCCAGCAACATTTTGCAATATTTTGGGAATTTTTTTTCTCCTCTCTCTCTCTTTTTGTACATGGCCAGACTGAAAGTGTGGCAACCCGGTTCTTTATTTAAGTCCCRTCTACCAAATCACGCCCTCTGAAAATTTATGAACAGGCTTATTTGCCGCTGAAAGCACGAGTGTGTGGTTAAAAGGGCTCTTGTGCGTCGGTTTGTCACCCAGATTTTTGGCTTTTCAGACGGTTTTGAGGAAAAAATGAAATGCTGGGATTGAACAAGACCTGAATATGATGTCTGTCACTAATTCATCTCTATCTTTAGACAAGACATTTAGTCTAACTTATGTTTAGAGGCCTGCTATATGACATGCTTTATTCTTTAGATGAAGTGGAAGTTGTAATTTTGAGGGCAGTATATTTCCTTTTATCACCCTCTCAGCTCCTAAATGAGTGCCTACGTCCTAAATCTAAAATAAAAATGTGACAGTCTTCAGTATTTTGTGTATTTTGCAAGAATACTGCAGGATTTTAAAATATGACAACATGCTTGTCTTAAAAAATATAAATGTAAAATAAAATGTGAGTTGAACTCACCTGCTTCAAGTCAAACATCCTCTGGGCTTTACCCTGTCCGCTCACAGCAAGATGAGCTTTTAAGAGGAAATGTCATCCCTTTCTTTCGCAGCCATCTGTTTTAAGAATATAGTTCCCTCCTGCACCCTTTTGTGATTCTCTTTGCTGGTTCCATCTGACAAGTGAACATGTTGCTGACAAAAGTGCGAGACAAGAGACATGTCAAGCATCAAAGTGTGTATTGACTGAATGATGGATGTGTGTTGTCAATCTAACAAGACGGGTCTAGTGGGGGAGCCTGCCTTGCTGCTGTACTTTTTTTTTTTGAAGTATGCTTTTGCTTACATTGAATCCATGTTGTGTGTGCGAATGTTCTTGCTGGTGTGAGGACTCAACACCCTCTCTTGTGATTTCCTCCCTCTGGACGGCGGGCGGTGTGTTTCAGCGTGGCAAAAATGTGTCAGGTCTCGCGTGTCCTCATATAATTAGACACCTGGTCCAGTGCACGCGCACGTGTGAGCTCACGAATCCGGACATTTCATTGCGCCGTGGAGTTCCTCCGTTGGGCGTGCGAGCGTAGCCGACTGTTGGCTCGTGTTTGTCGGCACAGGCGGACGCAGGGGCGGAAAGGCACGGGAGTGTGTCATGTGCCACTTTCTTTGTCTGGCGTGCTCAGGGCCCACAGGTGTTTGAAGGGCTCTCTGGATRTGTGTCAGGAGACACTTCTCAGTTAACGCCCACATTATGGAGCATGGCGGAGGGGATGGGGTTTGCTCCTAATGAAGTACAAGCTGGCAGACGTAGAGTARATGACGCAAAATGAAGGGAGGCTGGTTGTTAAGCGAAGTGTCACTCATCCCCTCTCCCTGCGTGAAACCAGCATAGTAATTAAGTCAAACAAACAACAGRGAGGAATTCTCCTGGGGAGGACAGTCAAACAAGCAAAGCTCCTGAGCGGGCCCCTGAAGCTGGGGGCATCACATCCCAGATCGCAGGATAATCTCAAAAGCTAGCACRGGCCTGTGATTTGGGCCAGTCGGAGAAAAGCCGAGCCGAGTCCCACGAAATCATCCTCAAATGAGAGCTGATGACACGCTCCCCGAGGGCGGGGTAGTCGCACAGGAGTAACAAATTCTCATCATCTGGAAAAGGACAGGCAAAATGACTGCAGAGTGAGCAGTTTGCAATGGAGAACGGTGGAGAAAATGGAGACAGGTAGATAGAATGACCTCTCGTGGGATGGCTGGCAGAGCGAGTGGAGAGTAAATGATTTCCCAGCGGGGTCAGTTAGACATTCAGCAGAAAGGTTACAGTTTCACGGGGGACGCAGCGATGATCGCRGCAGTTAATGATTTTTTTTTCTCTTCTCCTTGAGACTCGACTTATTTTTCCTCACCTTGACCACAAAGAATGAATAATATTCAAGAGATCATCATTTCATCACAGGTCGACTTGTGTGAACTGGAAATTAATGTGTAATGTAGCTCTCTAAAAGGGATTCACCTAGACTCAATCATCACTTCACCTTGTGGTCTTTAATTCACTCCTGTACTGTAGTATCATTCATATGAGTGGCAAGGATAATGATACACTTCCGTGGATCAATGCATACCTGAACACAGCCACATTCTTCTGCACAATCAATGCACAGCACTCTTCCATGCTGTGCAAGGATCCATCAGGTGTAACGCTGACCCCTAAAGGTCAGCACTGGCACATGCAGTCAAACATTAAATGTAAACAAAACTGCAAAACTCCATCGCGTCTGCATAAAATGCAGCAAAACTTCAAAAACATATGCACATTATTCAGAATCGTTAAACTCTATCATGACCTCTTCCTGCCTCCGTGCTCCCCCTGAATGGGTGGAACTGAGGAGGAAAGTCAGAGCAAGACTGAGAAAGAGACAAGGAATCTGGAGTTGGCTTTTAACCCTTCAAAATAGACACTTGGTGTGGAACCACACTCAGAGATGTCTGGCCTGAACCCCATAATAAGCTCGTGTGAGAGCGTGGGTGTGCCTGCCTGCCTGCCTGTGAAAATATGTGCAGTTTATATGTTTGTGGGTGTTTGCATGCTTGTCGGTTTATCCGTGTTTTATTTTTTCCTCCACTAGTCTTTTCTTTGAAGTATGAATTAGCATCTCGAGCATCGTTTTCGGAGGATCTCTCTCAGCTGTATCTGTCCGTTCGGCTGGCTGCGGCTGACAGAGCGGATGTGGATAATTACAAGGTGTTCTCCCAACGCGCCAACCTTGGAGATGCGTGCCTCTGACTCCCTCCCTCAATCGTTCTCATAGCTCTTTTCTTCCTCTGCCTCCTCCTCGTCGTCCTTCTCCTCCTCCTGCGGCTCAGTCCTTTCTCAAGGAACCACAGCACCACAAACCCTAAGTGCAATCTTTAACAGACTGTGTGTGGGTATTTTTTTTAACATGTCTTCTTTTCCTGTCTGTTTGATTGCAGCTCAGTTAATACATATCTTTTTTTTTTTTGGCTACCCGTCTTTTCAACTCTACTTGGACAGACACCCACACACACACTAAACCACCTACATCTTTGCTCCCATGCAGCCACATTTCAGTAGTAAAGCTGCAGTTTTGCAGTAGCCTCCATTTCAAACATGCTCTTACGGTAAACTCGTATGTATTCCATTTCCTCCCTCTGACTCGCAAACCTGACCACAGAGTTTGTGAAGCTCCCACCATTCTAGTCCACAAGTTGAAGGATGGTTTAATGAGCGTGTATTTTAGCTCCACCAATAAACAACTTTAGCTGCAAAACCAAAAAAATATAAAAAAGCCATTAATGCAGCAAAGAACACTTGTTTTCTTTGCTAATTATAATTAAAGAAGCATTACTTTGTGACCTTTCCTTTGCGTGTTTCTGTGGTTTTATCCGAGTTGTTTTGGAATGCAACACGAAAATGCACCCTTATGCTACTAGCTTTGAAAAATTCTCTTCAAACAAAAATTATCCAAACCGATCGGAGCTCAAGCACCACAATGGAAGGCTGCATCGGTGCAGCCTTTTTTGTTTGTGTAGTGATTACCACTCATGTGCACACAGCCGCTGTGTATGTTCGGAGTACATTTTTGTCTGTGTATACATTAGCGTTGTAAAGGCTCGCATGCACATAGGGAAAATATCTTTGCATCTGTGTTTGGGACGCAGGCTTGAGTTACAGCCTCGTGCAGATTGCAGAACTGCGGGTATGAATGGGTCCCACCACCTGCTAAATCTCGTCAGTCAGATGGAGAAAAGGGTGAACGCTTCTATCTGAGCAGAGTCATGTTACGAACGAGAGGGGGGCATCTACGACAGGCAAACAGGAATATGAAATATGTGAGAAAAATCAAATGGATGGTTTATTTTTCTTATTTAGACTGGTGTTAAGATTTGTTATAGTTACTGACAAAATAAGTGGTTATAATTTTTCATTGTTATGGTTCCAATGTGGGTCCACTTAAATACGTTTAAAATAATTTCATTCCCAATTTGCCTCAATGAAAAATAGCTTGAAGTAAAGAGAAAGAGAAACTATCCCTTCATGGAAATTTCGAGTGCAAATGCATTAAATG